TTGACTGGATATGTGACTCAGTTGTTTGCTTACCTGCCACGAAAGCGGATCAGTTTGGCCACGTGTACACAATACACCCGTGTCCGTACTTACGTGTTCTTCTGTGGACTAAAATACTCACCGATGCTTTTAAACTTCCGGCCGAATTCCTTACTTTTGGGGGTTTATCCTTGTGATTACCTCTCGGCAGGGAATTTTTTGTAAAGACAGTACCTACCGGCTCATATACAGGGGTTACGGTGATCTCTGCTGTGGACCCAAACTTGGTTCGTGTTGTTACCGGTGAGCCTCTTCATCCGTATGGAGAATCATTGGCAGTGCGCAGCTCACAAACGCCGGTGAGAAGCTCTTGACCAGCAGTACGAATACTTGACCATCTGTGTGTGAGGTACTCAGCCACTCGTGGCTGGACGGCTAAATATTCCAACTGCCAGCCGGAAGGTTGCTCGTCCAAGACTCCCTACTGGAGCTTCGTGAGAAGCTCACTTCTGATCATTCTCAGTATGAATGGAAACAACTGGCTGTTCAGCGTAGAGTGACTTCAATTACACACCAAAATTTCAACTGAAAGCTTCCAGTTCCTTGGAGCTGTCTGGGTGATCGACTTCATTAGCAGCGTTTGGCCACACCGCTTAAATTATCTGGTATACAGAGCCCGTAATAATTGCACAATGACAAACCGGATCCCGTGCTGCAGATCCCTTAGAGAACTTCGATACGGAATTGCACTCATGCGTTTCAACCAACAAACAAAGGCTCAGCAGTCGCCGAAACATCTCAGAACATTCAGCTGCTTGAGAAACAGTGCCCCTGACCGCCTGCGAACGGTCAGTGCAGCACTTCATATTCAGCAGACAATTCATCAGTCTGTCAAAGATAGGGTGCCAGACCAAGGCTCCTGTGTTCATGCATTCCTTTGTCTGAGAATGTTCCGCTAAAACAGAATCTTTATTTCAGCGCATCAAAGAGCACGTGTGGGACTGCCGAAAAATAGAGCGATCAGAAACAAAACAGGAAAAGTCACCAGTTGGAGCAACGCAAACCATTCTCTCGACGTAATCCCGTGACTACCGACAAAACGGATGCCCCGCGCTCTTTCCCAGCTCTGGCCACTTTCGCGCGCCAATCCTCACCACCGAGTAGATGTTTAAGTTGTTCCATGACAAAATTTCAGCAAAACTGCATATACCACTTTATTATGATTCCCTTTATTATGATTTCCCATTCAGTCGTTACGAATGAAGATCGGTCATTATGTTGTGTGTTTTAATCGATTATTTACTAGTTTGTCTTAACTCACCTCTCAATAATTCTCGTTGTGGGTTACAAAACTTCAGACATCTGCTGTTTTATATTCAGGCTCATGACCTTTTACTTTCATCCACTTTGTCTGGTTTTGCAGATGTTGCTCATGATGGAAGAACTTTTTGGAAGCGTCAAGAGAGATGATGATAAGCATGAACTGCAGCTCATTCCAAACAGCATCTGAGTTTTTGTAGAAGCCCTGGGTTCAAATATTTTGTGCATGTTTTCAACGAAATACAGACTCCTGGATCTTCACACACTCTTCTGTGTATTAAATCGATCCTTTATCATCAACGGTGTGGACGTTTTCCAAGGAAATCGAGACACAAAAACGATTTGTCTCTGATTCACCTTCACGTCGCACTCGTTTTGAAGAGTAATTTCCCCTGTCATGGTGCAACCCCGGCGAGATAATGGAGCTCCAGTAAGGGCTCGGGACTCGAGTTCAGAGCCCACTTCCCTTAGCAAGGAAGTCTGTTCAAAACAAAAGTGATTTGAACGTAAATTTTCCAAACCTTAAAATTATTTATAATCAATGATTAGTAATTTATGGATAAAAAAGTTGAAGGAAAAAATGTCAACAAAATTATAGCCCGTGGTTTTGTTTGTGATGGTATAGTTAATCACGAAATCTCGGATGTAGTGTTGGACTTGTGTATGACCCAGGGAAACCTGACAGTTTATCAGTAGTATCGTGCTTCCTTCTGATAGTATAGTCACTAGGCAGCTAATCGGTGGTACTGCCGGACCACTGTCGCCTTTGGTTGAGGATCTATTGAGTAGAGGCTTGGCCACTATTAAGTAGCTGAAATGCACCAATGTAGCACATATTCTGCTTTATTTCTAGACTTCTGGAACAAAACGTCCATGCACATATTTGTAATGCACTTCTCATAAGGTTGCTGAAAACTCCTCGACAGCCCACGACCGGTTTCGTCCTCACTGGGGCTCATCAAGTAGGCGCAGTCCCCGTGTTTCCGTCAACCTTACACTCTACTTGAACCCAAATTGCACGATATTGGTGAAATACACTCATTTGCAAACTCATTTGGTTTTGTGAGAGACTCATCTGGAACCCAGCTGAATCCCTCGTTTGTGATGTCTCCAGGTAACTGAATGTGCTGCACCAGGCCGAAACCGGTCGTGGGCTGTCGACGAATTTTCAGCAACTTTGTGAGTAGTGCATTACAAATATACAGGTATCTCGGTATCTCGAATATCGTAGCACTGAAACGTGAGCCGACCTGGTGCAGCGCATTCAGTTGCCTGAAAACATTACAAACGAGAGATTTAGCTGGGTTTCAGGTGAGTCCCTCACTAAAGCCTCATTTATTTGCAAATGAGTATATTTCGCTAATATTCGTTTTCTTCTAAAAAAAACACAAAAGGTTTCCGAAAACTATTTAAAAACCCACCACCGGTTTTATCATTCTTCCCAGTGCCTATCGGTTATGCGCAGGTTTCACTTTTTTCCCGTCAAACTTAGGTTCCACTTGTACACTAATTTTCCGAAATTCGCCAAGGTAGGTTTTAACCCTATGCTCTACCGGAACCCAACTGAATCTCCCGTTTATGATGAAAGTGCTGTAGAAATGCCGCCTCATGTTGTAGTTGGTACAATATTCGAAGTATCACAGAGTAGTTTCATGATAATCACATGGTCGCTGGAAGCACTTGGGCGACTCACGATCTTTTCTTGGGGCTCATCGAAAGTACATCATAAGCAAGAAATTCAGGTAAGTCTGTCGCTGAGGCCAAAATGTTGAGTAGATGAGCGTATTTGTGGAATACTTGTTTTACTTTGTTCCGAAGCATGTCACAAGAGTACGTGATCCTCTCACTCGAAAGCACAAAAAACATCTTATCAGTTGGTGGGTTCACAATCACATGCAAATGAGTTCTATATAATTTAGTTGACAAATAACCGCGACATGCCCAAGAGCGTATGCTTGGAGTCAGTGAGTTGTCGATCGCCTTCAAGATATTCTCCCTGAGGGCCTTATCTGAACAGTTTTTTACCAGTTAGCCGAACAATCGCCTATTTTATACACTGACGCCTGATGAATGTTGACAAGGTGCCACTGGGTGTCCGCTTCAGTTTCACCTAAAAATGGCCATTTTTTGCAATATTACTTTCGTTAAAATCTACTGGCTTAACCGTGGATAATACTGATAGGGCGTGCGAGTATTGCCTTCTCCTAAATCCACTTCGCGTCTCTTCAAAAGTGAGATCCAATGTGGAATTTGTGGAGTCGCTTTGTAGGAAGACGCGTTCAGGTTTGTAAGCAAGATGCAAGTAAGACTTTTGCTCCCCTGTCCAATAATCTGTAGCTGTTCAGTTGGTGTTTCTCTAATAAACAACTCCGCAGCGAAGGCCTTGTTCCTTTCACTGGTAACCGGCTGAACGACCAAATACAAGCGATTCATTCGAGACCCGTCTTTCTGCGCACGCGACAGCGTTGACTCCTACGACAATGTACAGCCGGTTGACGCGCTCAGCGACACCTACCCCAAACAAATACATTGAAGCAGTGAAAAACGAGGGATTCTCTATTCGCCCAATGAGGGGACTCCCATGAACAAAAGTCATGCTCATTGGCTTTCAACAGGTTCTGTGTGAATAAGACACGCTGTTCATCTGAGAGCGTCGGATGAAGTACCAATCCAAGCTCATAGTTCGCAGCTAAATAATATTGCAGCTGAACCAGGCATTCAGTTAGTTACTCCCCTGAACGAGTATCCTTGTGAGTTTCTCTCATCACATTGGACGGGCATTAAATCTCTCATGGGCAAGAATATTCGTATGACGAAAGAGCATTGAGTAGAGCAATTCTGTAACCCTGCTCGGCCACTGGGCTAGAGTATATGCTAAATACCCCAAGTCACACTACTGGTGTAACGGTGATACTAATGATGG